TAAATAAATAAATAAATAAATAAATAAATAAATAAATAAATAAATAAATGTTATGCACCATATTGTGGGAAGTCACCCTCAGAGTATGTGCTGAGAATCCCACTCAGCTACAACCTCGCCAGGTTTTATGTCAGTATCTGTAAAACTGACTAAGTTAGAGCAATTTCTGTTTTTTTTTACTTCAGTTGGACGTGGCAGCCAGTTTGGATTGTGTTTACTCCAAAAGTAAATCATATGTAGAAAAACATCTGATGATTTTATGTTCTGCAAGTCCCAATCAAATTCTTCCAGTGGTTCATGAAATATTTTGCTAACAGAKACGAACACACGGGCACAAAAACACATTATTCTCGCTGAAAGGCAGGCGATAATAAAACAGGGGCTAAAATAATAAATGAATCATTTTGTCTTCTGCAGCAGTTCTGCAGGTGTATCAATTATGAACTTGTAGAAAAAAGTACATAATCCACTTCGGGGAACAGAAAAAAAAAGAGAGAGAAAGTAGCAAGTGGAATTTTATGATACAGCGTTATCAGTCCGACCCTGCTGTGACCACCTTGCAATGAGGCCTGGGGGGACTTGTTACCACACTGGTCCCAAGGTGACTCGAATTCCCAGGTGGGAGAAAAAGCGCCGAGGCTGAGCGAGGAAGGGAGCGAGGAAGGGAGCGAGAGGCTGAAGTAAAGATAACTTACACATGGGTTTCAGCTGACCAATGAGCTCCTCCTTGCTCCACTTGGCCCACTCCTTCCTGTCTGTGTTGATGGAGCAGAGGACAGGACCACATGGCTTCCCGCTGTCGTCCACTGCCGGTACATTCAGGTAGTGCACCAGCACAATGTCTGGGTTCTAGAGGAACAACGACACACACACAGAAACACACCAGCTCTGCGTTATTTTAACAAAAAAAAAAAAAAGAAAACATCTGTTCACTGATGTGTTTTTACCACACACAGAACAAAATGAGGGAGAGTCTATTTACAAAAGGGAATGAAGGTGGGAGGAGGGAAAAAGAAAGTGGAGGATGGGGAGGAGGTCAGATGTAGCGTGTCAGATAGGATTCTCTCACCTGCCTATAAAAGATTTAACAGCTTGAGCCTCCTCAACCCTCTCCCTCTCTCTCTCTCTCTCTCTCTCTCTCTCTCTCTCTCTCTCTCTCTCTCTAACACTGCAGTGTCAACATGTGTGTAAGAAATACAGGATATTTGTTGTTTGTATACAGTGTATGTATGGAAGGAGGGAGAAAACGAGAGAAATGGAAGTGGAGCTGGTTTCACTTTCCTGTAGGTCACCAGCAGACCTATGGAATTTCTAATCCATGAATGATTCAACAAGTTTCTTCGTGTGTGTGTGTGTGTGTGTGTGTGTGTGTGTGTGTGTGTGTGTGTGTGTG